GTAGAATGAGGAGTACCCACTAAATGGTCTTCTATTCTGCTGAATAGATTGCCCTTGAAGCTAAAAAATCAAGGAATTGCTGGGCCTTCCTAAAATGTATTTAGAATTTCTTGATGCATCGTAGACAAAAGGCAAGAATAAATTTCAAATGCTTATCCTCGAGACCATTAGTTAATGAAGCACCACACGACTCAGTCCTAAGTCCTTTACTTTATGTAGTGTACGTAAATAAATTTCGAGTATGTTTGAGTCCTCAATGCTACTATGCCCTCAAGATGTAAAAATCTAGTAAGAAAGGACGAGAAATGGAGATGCATATGCACTTTAAGGAGACTTGGATGTTCTAATTAGCTGGTTTAGAAAATCACTGATGACTAGCGACGTATTCAAGTGTCTCTACATGCACATTGTGAATACAATGGTAGATAGGTGCAGCATAGAAGGGTCTGTGCTCATAGCCCAGTCTCATAAGATTCTTGGGGTGACAGTGAGACGTGGCCTTAAGACCGCAGCCTACTAGGGCGAGTTCGCAACTAAGAGGTTCAGAACCCAATGGGCTTTAAGACGGGCACTTACTAAAATTTCATACTAATATGCTAACTACAGTATACACAACCTTAACGAGATCCAAATATGGAAACTGCATTCATGATGCAAGTTCCTGCTTTAAAGGTGACTCGGATATCCTGAAAAAAGTGTGGAAGGCAGCTACCCCTGCAACTTCAGGACTCTCGATCTACCATACAAAGAGAAGCTTAAGAAGATAGGCCCCTCTTCTCCATCCTGCCGCAGATTGAAACGTGCTCTGATTTTGATGCAGAAAATACGATGAACTGATTTTGAACCTGATTTAGTGTCTCTTCTTCTTCCTACGTGATCAGGGATGTCGGAGAATGGTGAACGCGAGAGAATGAATCGGAATGGCATTGCTCCATCTCGTAAGCGGGGTCATTATGTAACGTAATCATTTTCATACCAAACGTATTAATCTATCCCCGACTCATATGTGTTCTTCAGAAGTGCCAAGCATCATAAAACTGATTGTCATGACAGAAGAAAATGGTCTAGACAATTATGTGACTTTCACGTGAGATCTTTTAGATAAGGTAGTCACACCATGACAAATCTACAATTTGGAGATTATGTCTATTATTATAGTAATACTGATACCGAATAAGACCATAATTATACAGTCACATCATGAAAACCTACAATTTTGAGCTTACGTTTATTATTACAGTAGCAGATATAAATGTACTAATATCGACCAGACCATAATTCCACAGACGTACTAGGTGGGTTAAAAAAATCCAGGAACGAACAAAATGCCCGTGGTATATGGGTTACCACATCAAGTAATAAATACTTGTAACCCGTTACCCCAAAAAGTCATTCCTGCTCCTATGATTGACTCATTCAATAGAAGACTAGACACTCTCAGAAGTAACATACACTGTATGTCCTCTGTGTTCAATGCAATAGTTTGAATCTGAAATCAGCGAACCTGGACCTGAAAGCCATCCCGAAACATTTGGGTGTTCTTGCTTATTTAATGGTGGACATAAGAATACTGTCTGGTATGCCACGTTCTGAGCTCAATCTCACCAGAAACATCCCTAGAGAATCTCGCGAGAGGTTTATTTTCGTAAGAAGTATCATTCTTCAAGGTTTCCCAGAAAATGGACTATGGTATCCTAGAATAGAAATACACAAGACAGTCCTTGAAACTCAAGAACATAATTAATCAACAAGTAGTGCGGTTAGCGTAGAAGGATGTAAGTTTGTGGTGTTTGAATTAACTAATGATTCTTTTGCACTTGCTGAATGCTTGATTTTGAATTCTAAATACAATACATTCGTTCGTGCTTGTCTAGTACTTCTTGATTCAATTGCGTTATTGCTGGGATTCCCAGTTCATACTATAACTCAAATAATTCGAAACATTATAAAGTTCTAGACCCCAGCTTATGAAGGTAACTTTCCCACACCATCAAATGGAGGCTACCACTGTCGAACCATTTTCTGTCAACAGATGTCGGCTATCAACTGGAATAGACATGAACACACACAGAATGAACTGAGGCTACCAACTCGGAAAACCATATGCAAGTAGGCTGCCTGCTCATTCACATAAAGACGAGGAAGCTCACGCGTTTTATATCGAAAGCATAAGATGCCAATGTACGAACTGTGGGAGTTTACTGAGCACAATGGCTGACTTGCATGAACTAGATAGAGCCGATAATATTCGTCCAACAGGAATATCTGAAGCTTGAACATCTCAAATTACGGGTCAGAGGCTGTCAGTTCTCGGCATGTCTTTGTTTTGAAGCAGCAGAACAACAGGAATATAGGGCGAAGCAGTTCTGTATCTACAATCTTGCTTGGTAGCACATCAACTGTATATTTCAGAGTTTATTTATCTTGGTCAGTTTGTATTGTGTCTGTAAGACTGTCTAACAGCTCGAGGTGTCTAGTTGGGGTCATCTACATGGAGCTCACCGCTGATGCCGAGTATGATAATCGTATTCAGGGTTATCCCTCTCTACATGTCTCGGATACACTAATATCCTGATACTAAAAGACCAGTTGTCCTAAAATAAACTTTTCCGAACACATGTACATTGGAGGTGACAAATACACTGAGGTCCAGTTCATCGACCTTATCAAGGATCTGGGATTATTCGAAAATGTGAAGCAAGCAAATCGTTCAAGGAGTAGTCAGACGCCGTCACGCTTGTACTGCATTTTTACAAACAAATAATTCCTAATTGACAATCTCACAAACACGGTTCTCCTGAGTGAAAATGATCACAGCCTTCAACTTTATCAACGAAAGTGAGCTAAAACATCCTACTAACAACAGGCGTTGGAATTACAAACAGTTGGATGTGTCGGCCTTACAGGCCAATCTATAGAATGTGAACTGTGGATCCAACCCATAACTTGATGTGGACGCTCAGTAGAACTTCCCACTGCACATGGCCTCATATACTGCAGAACAGTCTCTTTCGCAGATGGTTCCAAAAATTATAAGGAAGCCGCAGTCGTCAGGAATCGGACTTTTTGATCGCTAAGATGAAAAACGCACTACTGGGAGGAACGTAAGCGACCTAGTGACAACAGCTCGTATAGGCAGTTCAAACAAGCAAGGAAGCAGTGCACAAAGGTGATAATAAAAGAAAGGCTCGTCTTTAACATTTCAAGGTGTAAAGTAGTCCATGTGAGACATGCTGCAGATGGCGAATACAACCTGGGTAACTCCTCTCTAGAGGTATCCTATGATGAAAAACGTTCAGGAGTTTTGGTACTTAGTGACCTGAAGTCCTACACCTACTGCGACAAAAATTTCTCTCGAGCATACCTTACATTGTTCGACGGTAGAAATTTCCACTTCTTCAACAGTTTTATTCGACCCCATTTAAATTATGGAAACATAGTGTTTTTTAGATGGTGGAGAAGATGTAGCGTGGCGTCGAGTTGAGATTAACTATGAACACCGCTACCAAGAAACACGTGCCAATTAGATCAGAAGGCGAGGGTTGGACGTAACCAAATAGATCCATAAAATCTCCGAGAAGCCGAATACCAGAAGGCAATTAATGGACCAAGTCGAGGTTTATTAGCTGGCGATCTCGTGGCATCGAAAGGATACCGAGATCGTGCCAGGATACAAGCTTGGTTACAGAACGTAACCGAATTCGCGCGAAGTTACAATCGAAGTGTAAGTATAAGAATGGAAGCACAAAATAGCTGTCATTAGCACAGTCAAAAAAAAGCACATTAAAACAGTCACTGGTACACTTGGTTATAATAATAAGCGTTTTTATTAAACCAGTCGTGTTCTCGTGATAAATGTGAGTCACTACAAAGATTTGTAGCTCAGGTGGTTGATTTTGGTGGAGTTTTGTTCCAGCTCAGAGAACAAAACTCCACCAAAAAAAATAGTGCTTTTCCCATCACTACCAAAAGATTAAGATACATTGGAACGTATGAAACGGTGAGCGATGAAAAATGTTTGGGGACTCAATTTCAAGCCTTATGAAATGCACCTCAAATTACTGTACCTTTACGCATTGGAGTATAATCGCCTTAAAGTTGACTTTCTAATGACTTTGAAGATGGCACAGGTATTCAGTGTTTGACAACGCTTTTACCAGTAACACCTAATATAACTCGTATCCATCAAGAGAAATCAAAAGACAGAATCGAGGAGATAAGATGTTGTATTTGACGATTGTCAATATATCGGAATTGTCTAATCTAGTCTGGCTAGCGATTGCAGTAGATGTTGAGTACGGCGTTGCCACACATGATCTGGTGCGGATGAATGACCGACCGCCTTTAGCTAGGTGTGTCCGTTAAAACATATGGTCAGAATCAAATGTCGAAAACTTACAGAGCTATTTATTTTGGGTATTTATTTAGCGCTACAACTTACAGTATCATAAACACTTCTGGACTACCTTTTAAATACCCACCTCAGCTCAGTCCCAGTACAAACCTTAGGGGTAACACTCAGAAACTGGAAACACAACACAGCACAACAGACTTAAGGCATATTTTATACTCTTTAGGAGTAGTTGAGCGCTAGAATTCTCTGCCAGCTTAGCCAGTTCAAGTGACACCCTAGGAGTCTTTCACGAAATGACCTGACATATTCTTAAGGACTAAGGACAGTACCTCTCTATAATTTACCAATAATTTTTCTTTTATCGTCAAATGTACCTAGGTTCCTACCTGGCAACGTCGGTTGTCCATTGATACCAGCTACGGAGGTCTGTTGTGTGAAAGCTTCTTCTATTCCGCCCTGAACCAAATGAATCGCCATTCCAATTATTGTCTTTTCCCTCTAATTTCAGACGAATTAAAACAGTAGTACAGCTGGGAAACATCTCCTAAAACCCCACTCTAGCTACAAAAAAGTTAATAATACGTTACTTCTACAAAGTTCAGTTTGAAGTTTGAAATCTAACAACTTTTCCTATCTTAAGTTACTTGTACTCTAGGGCGGTTTTCTTACGGCGCTTCTCTTGACCTTAGTCTGTCTCGAGGGATTAATGATTTGTCAAAACATCTAATTCAGGATACATGCGTGAATTTCTATAAACGAACACTGTTGTATAATCACTAAAAGTGATACAATTAGTCCTATATATAAATATAAATTATGAGTCTCTTTACAAGTCCACCTCCAGTTGTAAAGCGACTTATAAGTTACATCAAAGAAGGTTCAGACAAAGAAGAAAAGTGGAAGGAAAAGGCTGTTAAGTCATTAGTCAAGAGGCTGAAAAACGGGACACAATTGGACGAGTTGGAACGTGCTTTGGTTAGCCAAGATCCATCTACACGCTGTGTTACAATACCTCGTTCATTGGATGGGCGTCTACAGGTAAGTTCATGTACGTGGGGCTGTTTGGATATCAAATTTAAAATAATCGGCAAGACGTTTTCTGAAGGTCAATTTCACTGTAAAAATAATAAACGTTTTGACGGCTATAGTGTCCTGTCAAGGGGCCTCAATTAACATATCAATAAACTATAGCTGTTCATTATTTTGGTTTTCCTCCTCAAGCCTCCACGTAGCTTAAAACACCTTAATATAAAAGCATAACTTGGAACGTCAATAAAAAATAGCTTCAAAGAAAGCATTGTAAAGTGGAGTTTTTAACCATAAAGTTGCAATGTCTGTTCCTATGGAAGAATTAGAAAACCATGCTGGAATACAGATCACATCTGCATAAAACTGTTGTTCAGTTATTTAGTTACTGTCAAATCAGTCATTTTGACATATCATATAATCACAGTAGTTTTGCTCAAATTCTCCTTGATCACTCCCAGCTGAATGTAAATATTGTAGTTCTATTTAATGTCTTACTTATTGCTCCAGTTTACCATAAGATAGTAAAGTATTTATAACAGTGATTAGATAAAAACGTCGACTTCCACGTGGTTTTCACCTGATAACCTTAAAAAGATGAGATTCAGGCTTTGTAGGTTATAAAACGTACGAATAAAGTCTATTGACAGGCTTTTCTACGTAATGTATTAAATAATTGATACTTAGCATGCTTTAGGACTAATTATCTCGGCATAATTAGTCTAACAGTCATTAGGATTAGTGTACCAACCCACTTGATACTCGATTACGTGACAATTTGTTGGCCTGATTGGTTCCGGAAAGCACCCAGGCACACAAGTAACATTTGCTACAGCAAAATCATATACCGGTCTGCAGTGAAATACTTTTTATCAGCAGGACGAAGAGACAGTAATATGAAATGTGGCGGACAGTTATCAGTCCAGCGAGGAGTAGTGTGACAATCTAGGAAAACTATCCGGAAAATGTCTGTCCTTCACTTTATAATCGATGAAACATGCATGCTACTTAAAGTTCCAACCTCATCCAGAAAACTTCCGCCTCCCGAATTTTTTCACAACAGCATCTTGATACCCCCCTAACTCGTCATGTATGGCCACCTCCAGTCTTCCTGACCTATTCTTGACGCAATAACACGTTAATGTAAGCGATAACCGGGTATGATTTAACCATGTACTTGTCACCTCGCTCACTGTGTTATCAAAATCTCGATTGGTTTGTAATTTCTACCTACTTTTCAGTTCCAGAGATTGTATTTACAGTGATAAATTAATTAAAAACGGCTTAATACACCTATGTTGAGTTTAATTATCTCTGTAATTAATGTGACGTATCCTTAATCAAGCGGATCTATGTGTCAAGGTTTTGTCACCTAACGGCGCCGATATGACTCTTAAGATAATTAAATTGGTCAAGGCGCTCAGCTGCATATAGATTTGGCATTAGTGTAGACCCTTCCTGAAACTCATATGGAACAGTACTTGCTTGTCACTCATCGCGTCTGAAAATTTCCCTGTCTTCTGGTAGGATGCCAATTACTTAGAAATCGAACGATAGCAATTAAGTTTCAGAGGAAGCGAGATCAAGCAGCATTGACAGATACCATTTGGCATAGTCGTCACAAATAACAGTTCTTAGTAAATTCCGACCGAACAAGTAATACCTCGTTCAAGAACCTACCGTAGATTGACCTACTTTAGTAAATCCCTCAGTAGCACTGTCGTAAATCTTATTAATCGACCAGGTGAAGTTCTGCTTTCACATCAGGAAATACAAATATTTCAACCCTTAATGGTCTCACTTGTGTTTTTGTTACTGAAGAACTAAAGCGAGTATATTCTTACATCTTTTACCGTATGTCAATAATTCATTAATCTATATTGACTAGGTTATACATGCTCCTCATCTATTATTTAGATTATTTGTTCAAATAGTGGACATTCTTTTCAATAATTACTGTGTCGACCTTTGTTGTAAGAACAAAATCTATTAACTATCTAACTTTAACTGTTACCGGTTACTTATCGACCCATCTGGCTATCATCCTAATAATGCTTCATTGACTTACTGCTGACTCCTTAATTAATAATTTTCTAAGTTAAATCAACCAGATACAATGAATCTATTAGATTTAAGTGCTATATGATCCAAAGTTTCTTGTCCCATAAACGTTCTACTTAATTTAAGCTTCAGTAAGCTCCATACAGAAAAGTATATCAGATTTTCATCTGACCGTTCAGGAAAATGACTTACTGTTAACTGATTTCGTACGTTCTACGCTCAATATATCCGTGGGTTCGAATATTCGTGAAACTGATTAGTAATATTCTAAGTGCTCTCACAATAAATCATTAAGTTATACTGGGTAAAAGATGCTGAGTAACCAAACTTTGACTCTTGATTACGTCTTGAATGCATAATATACTATCATAATCATCTGTTTTGATGAACGAAGTCAGTTATCTAAAATGGTATGAGACGTAAATATGGATTAATAGCCAGCTATTTGGTCAGTCAACGATTAATGAGTTCATAAAATCGTCGGATTCATAGCTAGGTCAGTTGAATAATTTGTATTAACTAGTTCATAGTTCTTTTATCAAGTGTTTTCGTGTCTATCTGTTTCTGCGTTCCTTTTTCTTAATTGTAACCATGTAGTTTTCAAATACTTTATTTTTGTACGTTTTTGAGTGCGGATCGTTAAGACTAGAAAACTACATCACGCTGGTCCGTCATAATGAAATGATATGAATTTTTATGGAATTTAAATCATGTACCTCGTTATTTTATACATGGTTAGGTCGTATTATGTCGTGTTGTTATTAGATACACTAATTATTTTCTCTCACACATTGTTTTTATTTGCCTTTGATTTTCACTAGGTTGCCCAGAAAAAAGGTTTACCACACGTTTTTTACTGCCAACTTTGGCGATGGCCAGACCTGCATACTCAGCACGAGTTAAGGCCTATCGCTACTTGTGAATATTCTTTCCAATCAAAACGCGATGAGGTTTGTATCAACCCTTATCACTATCGAAGGATTGAAAATCCAGGTTCGTATAAGATGTTTTGTTTCCATTCTCAACATTGGTTGCTATCTTTGAATAGGTCTACATCTTGTTTGTCTCCTGACGGGCTCGTTCTCAGTGCACTCTTGAGCTCTCAAAATGCACTCTGACATGCAGTTGATTCAAAGTGATGGTTTTCAAAATATCATTTTCATAACTATCTTTCGTAAACGTTGTTTTGTTAATTGGTTATGAGATCGATAGTTCTATGAAGACCGACATTTGTGTTCCTAGTATCTTTATCGTAATTTATGGTAACTATGGTTCACTACTTGCATCATCACCAGTAGAACTTTACTAAAAACGATCGATTGTTTTTTGTTAAACTTTCAAAATAAAGTAACTGGAGGACAACGTGTAGAGTATGTGCTAAAGTTTTCAGTTCTGTTTTTCGTAAATGTTTGTTAATCCAAAATTAGCACAGGATATTAGATGGTGGTTGGAGGTAGTCAACCTCCAACCACCATCTAATCTCATTACATAGTGCCCGCAGTGTCGAGTCACCTAGACTGGTGGCCACATTGCAACATGATCGATAGCATTCGATCTGCACTAATAAGGACTAGACAAGCATGAGATTGATCACCACCCAGTGATCAATCAATTGTGATTAGCACAGGATATACTTCTGTAATAAAATGGTTAATTAATTTTTCAAACATAATATTGTATGGAAAGTACACTCATTAAGTCAAAGGGTTTCATTTTCGGATATTTTGAAATGTTATATTGAAACACTTTCTCAGCAGTCAGTCAGTTAGTAACAACGTAGAACTTCGTACCTGCGTACATCAGTTCGAGTTGCCACGCCACATTAGCACAGAGATGCAGTTGTCGATTCAAATCCCGTAGTGGTAGAGGTAGTAAGAGTATAAGCAGTAATCGGGAAGATTAGGGTTTGGAGATGTTATTTAAAGTAATCAAATACACACTTTTTAAACATCGTTATCTAGAAATTACCATGTTTTTCGAATATACAGAAGTACAACCCCCTACAGCCTTTTTCGCCAATACGTTTAGTGGTCAGACTAATATGCCTGTGGTCCCAGTAGTACTTCACATTGTGGTAAGGAAATCTGACTTAAGTCATCTTTAAGTTAGTCTTCGCCGTTATATTACTATTCAAACTAACAAAGCTAATCATCTACACGAAATTCTCGACTATTTACGACTGCTCATCATAAAACGACAAGCAGAAAAAGCAGGTCAACTTCTCACGCATTTTACACGATTTGAGCATTACGATGTGCTAGTTAATACTTTGAAAGCAATCACTGACAGACTTATAACCTTACGAGTATCACATGCATTATATGCATATAGGTTTTGTATGCACATTTTTCATCTGTATTTCTGAATTTTTGCACTAATTATCCGCTTTCTTTTTGTATCGTTTGATATTAGATTCTCTATTATTTATTAAGCATTAGAATTCCATTCCGCCCACTCTATACAAGCTTACACAGTTAAGGTTATATCATACAGTCATTAAATATTCATTTATACTTTTATCATGAGCCGTGATAATCCAAAATATTGTCATCAAGTCTATTTGCTTACTTAGAATGTTTTTCGAAATAATGTTATCCCATGTCAAACGTTTTTGACAAGTAATACTCAGAAACTCATCTTATAAATGTTTACATTCTCATTTCACACTACAATGTTTCTTCTCAATATAACTATTTTCAATAGCTAAACCCCGAGATATGAGCTCTTGTATTTCGGATAAAAGCTGGTTATTAGACTTAACAGGCAATAGTCATAAATGCCAAAAATCTAACCTATTAGAATCGACTAGCATTAAGTTTCAACCAGTATGTCACAAGTGTGGTGCTTACTCCAAAGTGCACCAGTGTGGACAGCCAGTTAGTACTACAAATTCACGTAAACTACAGTACTCAAAAGCTGTGTAAATAAACAGGACTGAAGAAGTTTATTGTCATTGTGAGTTTATTTATATCCGTCTGTAGAATTTCTCGCTTTCTGTAGTATATTATCAATAATCCTTGATTTCAGTTGTGTTCTATGTCATGTTCTATGCTATTTTTGATAAATTATCTTTATCTCATCACTAGACTCGCGAACCAAATTTAAATTGGTCTTGGTTTCATTAAATAATTTCATTGTTAGAATAAAACCGGACTGAAATGGCGGATGATACTTTCCATCATGTCTTTGTTTCCTATTTTTGGTAATATTTAAAATAATTAAAACCTAGTAATCCATAAATGTTTTTTTTTTAAATAAACCCATTAATTTTTGTTTATTTATAGTTCTCCCACCAATTATGGTTCCTCGTACAGTTAACAATGGGACTTCCGGAGTCAATAACGACAACACACATCGTGGTGTTACAGAATCATCTACTGAACGTTATGGAAGAGGTTCATCTTTTGGTTCACATCATTCTCGATACTCCTCTATGCATAATCAGTATCAACAAGGTCTTCAACAACAACATCATCTAAATGCTTTACAGAGTCATCATCCTTCCTCTGCTGGACTAAATGATTCTATGATAATGGGAGATGATTGTGGTTCAGAACCAAATAGTTTAGCTGCCCTCCTAGCTCCTCCATCTAAACAACCCAGACAACATCTTGCTACAGATGCTGTAACAGCTGCTGCTCTAGCCAGAGGTGATGCACTTGACGCGTATGCTGTAGCAAGTCGAGCAATAGCTGGTTTAGAAAATGTCGGAAATGTACTCGGTGGGACGCATCCACCATGTGTGAGCCTTCGTGAGGTAAATCATCCACCTAATTTTAAATACTCACTTATATTTGCAAGTAGTTTATTACCCACATGGTATCAGTACGTTTTATTTATCTCCTTGATAGTAGCTTATGTATTTCCGTACCAACATCAGTATTACGCCATGCATGTGGGTATCAATTTCAGCAAAATACAAATATGAATGTGTGTGTAAAAAAACCTAGTGTTGTAAGTTTCATTCTTCTAACTGTAATAGTACCACATTACTAATGTAAATTTCAGTATATTAGTGACCCCAGAGGAGCCCCAGGCGTAGTTAAAGCAAAGATGAAGCACTAGAAATAATTGTTTTAACGGTGGTGATAAACAAAAAATCAAAAGAAACGAATGAAATCGAATATTAAGAAGTATAAAATGATGCCCCAAATGTCCTGGTACGATCGAGGGTGGGGAGAGTAAACTCTCTCGAAATGCTCTCACATAGCCACGCGTTAACAACCACTGCCAGGGAAGTCCTACTCACTACCTTCTCGCGGCAAGGGTGCTCTTTACGAAATCGAGAGGGTGCGAAGCGAATCTCCGGTGCTTTAACCGGGTTGGTTGGATATGGAAGATCCACCTAGGGAAGCTGGAAAACCATGATTTTAAACCAATGGTGCATGTGGGCTCCAGGATCCCGAGGGAACCAAAAGGCGTATGAACCCAATGTCGGTCACCGGCTAGCATGAGACTGAATCTCCTAAAGTTGCTCCAGTGCCTTGCGGATTAGACCTTCAGGTCAAAGGCTCCGGGTGTGGCCTCCTAATAAAACCACCTGCTTCGGTCTGGGCACCCGGGCACTATTGAGTTAACTGCTTCTATGAGTCCGGTGTTCGTCTTGCTGTGCTAATGATGTGTGGCAACTTGGATCGATTCATGTGTGTGCTTGGCCCTACGTTGTAACTGACTGACTGACTCGAGCTATATCTCAACTCCCATAAAAATCGAATGACAAAGTGTGGCGCATATGTATCTGGTGCCCCCTTGTACCGATGTTTATGTGTTTAAATAAATAAAAATACTAACACTCACTTTTAACAGAAATATGCAGAATAAATAGATTTCCTGCACCACTATGAATGATTTCGGTCCTCGACACTCAAAATCGTCAACCGTAGATTATGTTAGCCACCCAAACTCCATCCAAAAGGTCTTCATCTCTCCATATGGATGAGACCAGTGGTTAGTGACTTCTTTGGTTGACACAATATATTACTTTGCACACCTTCAGTCTTTTTGTTAACCTACTCCTATGCTAGCTAAGATAACATCGGAGTAAGGATTGACTGAGAATGTTTAATAGTTTGAGCCACTTCAGTTAATGAAGGTTTACTGTTTCATCAGTCAACCTGCTATTCCTACCCAACAGGTTACATTTTTATTCTATAAGTAATTTGATGTAACTTTATTGAGTTTTTATGATGCATTCTGTAGACTGCTCATTTGGAATTATGATAACTACGAAAGAATATGTGTACAACATAAACAATAATGATTGTACTTGTTTACCGTAAACTGCTGAATACTTTATTTAATCCCATATCTACAGGCTGCTGAAAATATGACTCTGGGTGGACCCCCCAATTTAGTTGGAACGCCCCCAGCTCCTCCTCATACAGGCTATCAATCGTCTCTTATGAATGTAGTGTCCAGTCTTAGCGGTGATGGTCGTGATTTCGCTCGCAGTTTAGGTGTAGCAAATCACATTCACAATGCTACAACGAGGTTTGTTTTTTTTAGATTCTAGAATGCTTGTCTAATAAAATTCACTGAATATATATATATATATATATATATATATATATATATATATAAAGTTCAATTTTTTTAAGTTGTTCGATTTTTGTTGTTACAAGATGATTTGAAATAGGATTTTGGTTAGATAGTGTCATGAAGATAGTAAAGAATTAATTTCTCAGACTTATTACAGAGGGTTGTTTTATTTTCCCTATATTTATATGGTGATAACTTTCACCATATATCAGTAAAATATCCATCTACCAGTTACAAACGCTGTAGGACCCTGTACAAGTGTATATCACTATATTTTTCATCCGAACATTGGGAGGAAAATTGACGAAGTGAAAAGCAGAGGGACAAAATAATATCAATCATAATATAGAACTAACGATTAAGGGAATGACAAATGCCATTAACTAAAGACTATCTTATCACGTCATTCAACCTAGATTTTAAGTAATAACGACTTAAAGCCTCGTTTTAATTTAATTATTTTGCATGCTCTTATTATTCGTACATGTATGGTAACTGGAGTCACCATTGATTTTTTTATCGACTTTGAATAAGTTAATTGAGTAATCCAGACAAATTTTTAGGACACGTAAAGTGTGTAAGTGATTTATCTCTGCGCTTAATTGCAAATTGATTGAAGTTGGAATTGTACCATCGGACGTCAACCAAGGGGTTCTGTTAGTTGGGAATTCATCACGACACATGAGGGTCTTGAGTCCAAATCCAATCACTGGTGGTATTTCGCGGCTCACTGCCGAGGAGTGTCATACTAAATGAAAACAACTTCCCAATGATCCCTGGTTTCAGTGATACCTTGACTAAGATTAATCCATAACAAATACAACTTACGTATATGAGTAGTGTTTTTGCCGGTTTTTTTTATCAGATATGGCTCAGAATAGAAGCCAGTGGCGATCCTGCTGTAACCTTCTTTTACTTTCTTCATAAAAAGTGGTTGTGTCTCCTTTACCTGAAAGATTTCTTCTGATTGTACCTCTTCGTCATTACTCTCTTTTTCTTTTGCGTTCCTTAGTTTTTTTTTTTCTCTTCGAATTCCCATTGTTTTGTGTGGCGCATATATATTGGCGCTCTCTTGTACCAATATTTATGTGTTCAAATAAAATAAAATAAAATAAATTTGCCGGTTTTTAATATGTAATGAATAAACTCCGTATTTTCTTTTTTGTTTCGGTTTATCTTCCTATCTTTTCTTTTGTTCCACTGACTAAATTTGGAGACTAGGTGGTCAGATCATTTGAGTAGACTCAGTTTGAATCTCGTATTCTACGTCACAATAATGAATCTTAGAAACAAATCATAAATATTTTATGTTCGTAATTTTTCGACTATGATTTTCATTTACATTCATATGAACTTCCATTGAATAGTAATTCTCATGTGAAGTAAATCGAATGTTCTGTAGATTGATCAATTTTAATGCGAAGCTGTGGTATGCAAATAATCTATTGTTTTTAAGTCAGTTGTTAACCATAAACAGTATAAGATATAAGACAAGTTTACTGAATCAAAGTTTCCCATTTTCATATTAGCACACACCCAGAGAGATAGACTTAGAGGAAACTACAAATCTAAAAAGCAAGTGTCAAAATAAATCAGTACAATCGTAAATAGAAACAAAATGTAGAAAATATTGAATTTGAAGATTAAACTTCAAATGAATAAAACATCTACAACATTGTAACCAGTTTTGAGTCATGTCACTTATAATCTCCGCTTTATTTATGTTGTTCTAGTTCATCAGAAATTCTAAATTTTCTCAAGTTCGATATTTATTTGGAATAATATATTTTTACCAAATAATTTAATATTTTTCTCACTAACGAAATAAAATTTTAGTTAATGCAGTCAGTAACAACGTAGAACTTCGTAAGTACATACATCAGTTCGAGTTGCCATACCACATTAGCACAGAGATGCAGTTGTCGATTCAAATCCTGTAGTGGTAGAGGCGGTAAGAGTATGAGCAGTAATTGGGAAGATTAGGTTGTTCTTTGATCTCTTTATTTCTATACAATTCAATTAAGTTTATTTCTCTTTGACAAAAACTTATATTTTACTGAGGAAGTACAAGTGTTTGACAAAGTTGTCTTTTTTTCCAACAATCTAAACCGTTAAGTATGCTTCTTGCGTAACTTCTATAATTATTATCTGAAGTGTCAAGTTTTTTTGCCTTTAAAAATATACCATTGAAATTTTTTTAATACCATAACTTTTTAGGTCACTTAGTATGGGTGATTATCCAATTCCTGTATCTGCTTGCCAAGAAGATCGTTCTAACGATTCTCAGTGCCTAGGTCCAAGTGCTGATAATTTGAGTTCAAGTTTTATGGGTCAATCATCATCAGTTTCTTCATCTACAACTCAGAAAGCTCCTAGTATTGCTGGTGCCGGCCCGTCAATAAACTCTCCTGGTACATTGTCATCAGTTGAAGAAAATTGTATCAGTGAAGATGACAATATGGATCTAGGTGTGTATTCATGCGTATAGTTTGTATGATAATGTGAATAAGTTTTCATATTTTTTTCATTCACTAACTTTTAATTGTAAATCTTGTTCAGAAGTTTTTATGTAACTGGTGTGAATTAATTTAACTTATTTACTACTGAGTACAAGTCTATGTATTCAGCTTTGAGTCGCATTGTTCGCTTTGAGAGCTAGCGATACTACTTAACCGCCTAAACTGAAGTAGATGATGCAGGGGATTCAACCATTTATCTACTGATTTTGAAAGTGGAATGCTTTAACCATTAAATTACGCAGCGCTACACATGACTTTCAGTAGTGTCATGTAACAAGATTATCTCGAATGGTGTTAGAGGTGTGTGGTCGGTAAGCACTTTCTGCATTGTGGAAGAAAACTGATTTGTCTCGAAAGGAAACTAGTTTAGTAGTAGTCTTAAAGACCTTATAGTGTGGCTACAGAGATCAAAGGGTCATACATGGCTTATAGCACTACTACATTTCTTTTGTTCACTGTGACCATTATATATCAATGAAAGTGTTCAACTTCAAACCATCATACCGCAGGTCCAAACCGTAACTCGACTATTCTGATTCGGTTAGCTGAGTACATCAAGATTTATTTGGTTATTACTAAATTGTATTAAATAGCCTCTCACCCAACAAACATATATCTTTACTTCTTAATTTCATAGCTCATAGGTGGTTACTGAATTGTGTGTTTAATGTATATTTTTTGCGTAATTAAAAAAATGTCATCTTTCCATCCCATAATTAACTATGATTCATTCCCTGTAATATAAAAATATCATTAAAAAGTACACTTGGTAGTTGTCATGTAGGTTTTCTGCAGTGTATTCACCTTTTTCTTGTGACTTAATTACTTTTTTTTAGCTTCCCTAGCTTTCTATTATTATTATTCTCTACTCATAGATATGTCATAACATTTTATATAGTTCCGTTTTAATATTTAGGTATTTATCTACTAATTATTATTATTGTCGTGTTATTGCATATGTAATTAGTCCAGACCACATGTTCATTTAGGTGGGAGAGATATACTTCGTGTGTAGATTCTCTTCATTGGTATAAGAGAATGTTAATGATGATTGAATTATGTTGATCAGTAGAATTTCAATTCAATCGTTTTGTAAGAAATTTATAGTCCATGAAACATGTGTACGCGCATATATATATATTTGTTGGCATGTAAGAGCTAGTGATAAATGAATTTAAACGGAAAGTTTACATTCTCTTTTGAGAATTTCAATTGATATCTAATATCAGAATGGGTTTTGTGGAGAGTTTTAGAAATTTCACAGGTTGAAGTCATGAGTCAGTTGAAGCTAGACCACCATTGAAAACCTGGAAGCACTGGACGGCCGTTTCGTCCTGGTATGGGACTCCTCAGCAGTGCGCATCCAGGTTTTCAATGGTGGTCTAGCTTCAACTGACTCATGATTTCAACCTGTGATATCTAATAGTTTCATCAATGTGTACTAGTTTCTTGTCTGCATATGTATGTAATTACTTTTATAGATGACTTCAGTTATTATTTATCTAAGTGTATATATTTTTTGAACATGTTTTCTAGCTACGTGTTTTCATAATTAATTGGTAGTTTGGTAAAATATTTATTCATCGTACGAATGCATACTACTGAGTCGTTCCATACTAGGACGAAACGCCCGTACAGTTAATCCAGGTTCTCAATGGTGGTCTAACTAAATTTGATTCATGATTTCATTGATACGTTGAGACATATTAGTTTTGTTTGTATGTATGAAAAGTTCAAGAACTGGTATAGTAATGACAGGAATACAATAGCAGTCCGAAGAGTCACTAAAAATGTGAAAAAAAGGATTGCACAGCTATTTTCAATTAAGTTCACAAACTGCCCCCTTATTCCCTAAATAAATTCAACCTTCTAAGTGTGCAAGTGTAAGGTCTGAGTTGTTCAAGTAATTACGTTGTTATGTTTACACCAAATAGTTTACAGTACTTAACACTACCCATCATTTGATTCTGTACAGTTTCGATATTATACAACAGTCAAGTTTATTTACCGTAAAGACATCTCTTGCAAATATTCATGTAACTGTACATTTAAATTTCATTGCAATAAAAAAACAGTAATTGTATTTACACTCCTTTCATATAGATTTTATTCCGTATTCTTGAACTGAGGTCTCGTCGTTTAATCTTTCTTGCTATCATTACTACCATAATTCTGTCGTTCTCTATGCTATTCATCATACGAATTTCATTTCGTTGTACTGATATGGTGCGGAAACACGTACTGACACAAATTTTCTTCCAGGCTTTACGTTGATTATGACTGACTGTATTTACACGATCGGGATTAAATCCGAGCAGATTTAATTACCGAATGTAAACATAACGATTTCTATTATACTTAAGATTGCTTACCTTCAAACAAAACCCTTCACTTCATGATTTTGAAGTACTTATAAATAGTACTATAAATGCATAATATTATTACACACCTTTCAATCTTATATTGAAATTTTTTTGTCGTAAGAACATTCTAGTAGAACAAAGTATATTAATGTGTAAACTTAACCTATTTAATAAATCATATCATGTTTTCTTTGGAATATAAATGAACGTAACCAATAAACCTTTAAACAATTCTACTTTCTTTCCAGCTATTGATTTTTCACAAAACCATAGATTAATTTCTATTAGAGATTAATGTTTATTTTCTCTTTAACTATAAATACAAAATAAAATGTCCAGGAATGTCATTAGACAATTTAAAAACTAAATTACATAGAAATTGAAATTAAGCACACAAAAAAAAAATCAGTAAAGTTAAATGAAAATAGTATTACAACATGAAAATTAGAAACGATTAAAATTATCAAATTTAATTAAGAACGATACTTTTTCAGGGGTGGGGGGGGGGGGTGGGGTGGGGTGGGGAAGCGGAAACAATTTCATCACACAAGTTTCATAAGTCTATATACTGCATTGAAAACAGTTACTTGATAAGCTATTTTCTCACTTTCATCTATAATATATATCTGAATAATTTTCATGTAGACTATTAGCCTATATATACGTATTAGTTTAACATAGGTTAGTAAATATTTTCTACAATGTCAGTCTTTCCATTCTTCCTATTCATATAAAGTTCCATATAGACTACAAAGTCTTTTTCTTCAATGAGTCTTTCATTTGTGTGTTTTATTTTTTTTTTTTTAGATATGTTAAGTGATGTTCTTATTGATGGAAATGAAATGACTTCAGTAGCTTATCAAGAACCTGAATATTGGTGTTCATTATATTATTATGAAATGAATACTCGTGTTGGAGATACATTTCATTGTTCTAGTCCATGTTTAACTGTTGACGGTTTCACCGATCCAAATAGACATAATCGTTTCTGTTTAGGTCTATTATCCAATGTGAATAGAGGACATCAGATTGAGCTAACTAGAAGGCATATTGGTAAGTTGACTAGATATTTGTATGTTTAAATACGTTTTACTTAGTACTATAGAAAATTTTACCAGTGTTTTTTTAGTACTTGTGATCAACACAAACGAAGCAAGTAATGAGAATGCATAATATAATTATCTATTATAATAATAACTTCAAGTTACTAATGAGTACGTAGATTGATCGCTCAGTGATTAAAGCGCTCGGTTTTCAATCACTAGTTCCTGGATTCAAGCTCCGCACCACTTCGGTTTAGACAACCGGTTAGGCATCATTGCTCCCCATATTCATGTACCGGGAGTATGTGCTAATTTGAATAAACCAATGAGCGATTACAGGACAAGAAAGTAGGCTATGATTAACGTAAGTATCACAAATTTTCATCAGTCACACTTGAAGTTACGGCTTACCAATGTTTTCTAATATATGAATCTCAACATTTCCAGTCGACATTCTGCACTTGGTTAGTAGAACTTCATAAATGCATAACTTTGTTTCAATTGTTGGGATCATGAGTCGCTTGAAGCTAGACCACCATGGAAAACCTCGAAGCACTAGACGGCCGTTTCGTCCTATTGTGGGGCTCCTCAGCAGTGCTCATCCACGATCCCGCCTCGCGGGATTCGAACCCAGGACCTACTAATCTCGCGCGCGAGCACTTAACCACTAGACCACTGAGCCGGTATTAAACAGTGTTAATGTCTAACTTCAACTAATCCAAGAAATTGAGTGACACATCCACCATTGTCATCAGTGAGTTACTATCTCACAACTGACCCGGTTGAACTCCACTGGTCACTGCCTCTCACTAGAACTCCAGGATATTCAACTTGAAGCCAGTCACTAGTGAATGATATGTTGATTATTATCAGAAAGGGGTTTTGGCTCATGATCTCAACAATTGAAATTACTAAAATCTCCACAAAACCTCCTGATAATAATCATTTTGTTATTAAAACCTTATTTCTTACAACGATACGGCTCAGTCGATGTTTTTACTGTTTATAATCCTTGACAATATTTTGATAAGCCCCCATCTACTGAGGTAATTTATATATGACTGGTATTATACGTGCTACTCTAATCCCTTCTTCAATAAACATATTAGCTCAGTAATAAGTTAGCATGAAGAAACCCTCAGAATGCCAGTTACTATATGTAGTAGATAAACTATACCCTAGTTGTGGTCTGCGCGATAGTCATGATCAAATATTGTGAAGGCCTTAGGTGATATAGTTCGCATTCAGTCGTAGTAAAGCAGATTCATCTATTCTGTATCTTGCTTCCGAAATTTCGCGTTACAATGTTAATTTACAATTGTGACTATGTTCAGAAATTTAAGTAATGTAATTTAAATACAGAAAGATTCTAAACTCTATTGACTGAGATGTTCGATAAACACAACATTCTTCAGTTTACACTGTCCAAGGATTTTGATAGAAAGTGAAGGGGAAGTGATCAAGTTGGGCTATTCCTCTCAACTTAATCTTACACGTGTTCGAAATCATTCATAAAATATGTTGGAAGTAGTAGCAGATACACACTAATTGTTATCACACACTACGTAACTCACTTTTGAGGACGTGTACGACAATCGCTTTACTTTACGATAAGTTAAGCCTATATCCTTCAGACTAGGTGATTTATTATTTATTTTTTTATCCCTCGTTAAGTTGATCGGTTACTTACTGACTAAACAGCACTGAATAGTAGGATCAATGATAATGCAATAAATATTCCAAATAAAATATTGTTGCGTTTTTATAAACCATTGGTGAACTTACTATCAAATCTATAGATTGCTTCACTGACACTGGGCTTGTTGCTGTTTGTTACTTAGATGAACTAAAAATCCTGTATTTACCAGATGTTACTATCAATTTTAAATAAGCAGTACATGTTGACCACCACGTTACTTTTGTGAAGATTTTGCACCCATTACTCCTAACCTGTAGGAATAGACTGTAAAACTTAGATAATTTATAATAAGCCAATGAAATTTTAATGTTTTTTTTATTGTGCGTTTAGCAAAGTCATAAACGTCTTAACTTTTTAATGGCATATTTTAAATGCAAACATTGCTCGTATATGCTTCTTATGAATAATCAAGTAGGCTATCCAGGTTAGGTAATTTGATCCAAAATGATAAGTGTTTTATTCATTTGTAATGGTTATAGTTGGTTTTAAGAAGTGTCACAATATTTCTGTGCTTGAACTAGAACAAACAGTATTCTCGGTGGAGTTTCCTCTTGCAATATAATTTCTCAGTAACAAACTGTAAATGTTTATTAATGTGTGAATACTTTCAGGGTGAGATTACATTTTGCTTCATCCTTAGTCATATTAAATCTTTGAGAATAAATCTTGAAACATCGTTATTGGATCTTATATTTAATTTATCCTTGTATTTTAGTTAGCGTTTATAGTGCTTGACAAACATTCATTCAAAATTCATTTACATGTTTATTCGAATTGTTTTTATGAATTAATGATCCAACACTTCAATTAATGTTCTCCTTGTTTATTGTTGTTGTTTGGCTTTCGGAAGTTGTTTTTTTTTCATCTTCAACTGTCATATTGATTTTTCTCACATTCAGTCGGTTGAATTCGATTTCATATAAAGAGATGACAACAAATAGTTTATTTGATCAATCCATTTTTAGCTTACTTCTTTCTCATCTTTTTTTTGCTTCCCGCTATCCTGTTTCTACGACACAAAACAAAACAAAAGTTTTCTACTTCTACCCAAAATGTGAACTGGGTGGTGGGTAAAGTTGGGAAATCGACATCCTAAAGCTGGTACTTACTGTTTTTATTGATTTTTCTAACAGATCGATGAGGAGTGGAATGTGATTGAAAAATATGTATGTCAATATAAATCGATTTATAGGTCAAGCTTACTATCCAGTGTGTCCTTTGAAGTTAATGGTTGTGTGTGTGTACGTACATACATGTGCGTGTGTGTGTGTGTGTGTGCTAGTGAATGCAGTCATTTACGATCGAAATAGTTAAGTGATGGAAGGTTTTCTAGGCTAAATAAAACAATAATAATAGTCGTGTATCGTTGTTTCTTTTTTATGACATTTTTAATTGCTAAGCTTACTTTCCAATATCTGTTGTGTGTTATTTATAAATTATTAGTATGTATATTTATAACACAGTAACCAGTATCTATTGTTACTTGTATAATACATTTCTATTAATTATTTGGTTTTCATTTAAGCTATATTTAATATTAATTTCTTTTAAAATTTACTCTTGGTTAGTAACTGTTATTATTGGTTAGTTTCTCAACCTGTAGTGATTGATATATATAAGAAGTTCAAAATCTAATATAAAAAAAAGTTATTTCAGACGTGTATATGTAGGTAGTTTGCCCTTCTCTCTTTATGAGATTATAAATTACTAGTGTAAGTAATAAAAATCAACTTAAGTCAACGTTCATTATCATCATTTCACTCTTATCAAAATTACCTTACATTCAAAATATTTGATTTCCTTGTTTAGATAATATGCAATTCTACTAACTAGATTACTGTTTTATTGTATAAAATGTATTTTTCATAGATTTCTAAATGTGAATGGCTAGTATGGTAAAATAATAAGCTTTTAGTTGTCTTGGTTATTGTCATGTAATTTGGAGCCGATCACTAGGATGCCCTTTGTCTAGATTTCATGCTAGTTCAAATTACCTCAGTAATTTTTGTTTGCACTCTTCAAGAAACTGACAGTCGAATCCGTATTAACCACTATCACAATGAAATATGTTATTAGTTAGCTATTCAGTTCTTCTATAAAAGTGAGTAGTAAACGGATTTCATATTATCTGTTACGTGATACTGATCAAGTTCTGTCAATAAAGTTGGGATGGGTTCACTACTGTGAATAATTTTGCTTTGTAATGCACAGTAATTTGAAAACGCTCGAAAGGAACTATTAGCACTACTCAGCCTTTTTTATATGACATTTACAATGTACACCTTCGTTTACGTGGCTCTGAGCAACATTTTTGTCTATACGAGCTATTAATACTACCCTCCTGAAATAGTTAGATCGGGATTCGAGCTAATACGTAGCTGTGGTGTTGCGGATTGTTAACTCACAGTTTTGTTTCAATTTTAACAGTAAATTTATGATTAATTATAATAGTTTTTATTATAAATAAAATTTTACAAAAGATTGCATATTTGATTACATTCATTCAATTTCTTTCATTCCTTAATACCAGAGGTATTCATTTTCAATATTACTATTGGGACGGATTTATATGAATATTCTATATTGGTTGGTGAATGTAGACGATCGATAAATTGTGATTTTTTTCATGTTTATTGTTCCTTGTCTTAATTACTACTATCTTTTCTTATTCTTCTTCTTTGGAAATAGGTAAAGGTGTTAAACTTTATTATATTGGCGGTGAAGTGTTTGCAGAATGTTTAAGTGACAGTGCTATATTTGTACAATCTCCTAATTGCAATTATATGTATAAATGGCATCCAGCAACTGTATGTAAAATTCCACCTGGATGTAATTTGAAAATATTCAATAATCAAGAATTTGCTAATCTTCTTACAGAGAATGTAACTAAAGGTTTTGAAGCTGTTTATTCACTAACAAATATGTGTACTATACGAATGAGTTTTGTCAAAGGATGGGGTGCTGATTATCGGTATGTTCAGTATTCTATGCAATATTATACAATATTCAAGTGATTTTACATGAGGTATATTTTATGTGTATGAGATCTGTTGATATTATTTGACCAGATCATATCTGATACCCATGACATGGTGGTTGATTTCACCTGTCATGATAATTCAGCAGGACTGTTTTGGCTAGAAATCTTGTTCCTTCAAGCTGATAGGAGGGCAGCACTTGCTAAAGGGAATCGATTTAAGGTTCAATAACAATATCATACTCCTGGTTATACTAATGAATGGAAGCTGTTAGGTATTCCTTAGGATATTTAGTGTTGTTGCCCTCTCATATATAAAGTTGGAGTTAAAGAATATGGATCCTGCGAATAAACTACTTCATTTTGCCACACGAATTTACAGCACCTGGATTAATGTCTGACATTTAAGGATCATACACCGATAGGAACTCGAAAATCTCGAGTACGATTGGTTTTAAATGACTGTCTCTTCCCAGATCTACAAGACCATCACTACTAATCTCATTCGTTTTTTGACCCCCCCCCCCAGATAGAATTATTTTTTCGCATTATGGACGACCGGGTGTCAATCACTCGCACACTAACGCTACTGTAGTAATTTTTGTTCACTATATCATCTTTTTTAATGACTGTATGAGTGTAATTGTAGTGACCGAGAACACGAACGCGGACGGCCAAATGTATTTAAACACGTAGTCACAGGGCATCTTAGTAAAATCTGAGAACCATAAAGTAAATACTTCATTTGCAAAATATCAATCAATCATCTCAGACTTCATTGTTCTTTCATTTTCACACCAATTATTCTCTGTTATCGTTCTCTTTTTCTTCGATTTTCTTAACCTTCTACCTTCAGTCATTTAACTTGCGATTTATGTTACATGCTATCTGTCGACACACCACATAATTATTAGTGTTAGAAGAGACTTATCTGTGTATAGCGGGAGATAGAATTAAACACTACTGCTCATAGAGAACTGGTTGTTTAATACTTCATTGTAAGTAGTTCTTACTCGTGCTTGACAAGTTTGGTTTTCTGTGATTGAGGATTTCTGATGATTATCCATGTTCGATTCATACTTTCCTTAGGTTTCTAGAGATAAACTCAAAATCCATATATACCAACAAAGACTTGTCAAAATTAAGTCATAAATGCCAATAGAATAATTCAAAACCTTGCTAATAATGATTTTAGGAAAATCTCTGTTGATTTCTTATTCTTGTTATTATTTTCATACAATTTCACTTCATTCACTTACCCTTAACTTTATTCTTTCCTTTTGTATGGAAACATTTTTTGGTACTATATTGTACTAAGCAATTTTCACATCAAAATTAGTTCAATGTTATTTAAAAAGAAATAAGTAAAACTATACAATGCAAATTTTGTTAATAGTAATTTGTTTAGTATTTCAAATAAACAATCTTGATCTTTGGATCTTTAACTTTCTTTAAGAAGACTGTCATGACCGGTATTTTATGTTGTTTGTTCAAAATACGATTGAATTTTAAATCAAATACTCGTTTAAATAATACTCATTGTTGTTTTACTTAAGGTGTATACATCATAAATTGTAGACTACCTCCTCTTTGTTTCTAGTGTAATCATTAAGCAGTATGGTAGCTATATAGATCGTCATCTTATTTTCATTAACTAAATTCCTCTATCATTGACTAGCTGGAATTCATGATCAAATTCAAATATCTGTACTAAACTATACTTCTTTGAGGATAGCTAGTTTACTTGTTTCCTAAGTATGTGATCTTGTAAGCACTATTCAGGTTGAAAATGGATTTTCCCGTACACTTCGCCGATCACATCTACGTATGTTGTTAAGTGTTATATGTTGTAAAAAGTTAATGAGAGTTTTGAGATAGGTAAAGACATATTGTCTAAAAATAATCAGCTTAGTTTCTAATATCTGCCTACAGCTACACCGACTGTTCGCCTTCATTATTCGATTTTTTTCTCTTTGACTTGATAATGTTTTATCCTTTCTTTACTGACTTACCCTCTGTGTGTGCGGCGTCACCATTTTGTGTGCATTCACCTACCGTCTTACCTAATTTTTTCTTATTTTCAGCCGACAAACTGTAACTAGCACTCCGTGTTGGATTGAAATTCATTTAAATGGACCTCTGCAATGGCTTGATCGTGTCCTTAGTCAAATGGGCTCCCCAGATCATCCTTGCACATCTGTCAGTTGAACCGATGAAGCTATCCCTTATTTATTGATTATTGTTATGATAACTGTTAATGTTCAGGATAAATTATCTCTTGTCAATAGTATCTTTTCCGACGTCTTTCGAATACCTCCTAAATAAAAATAAAAACAATTATTGAATACTTATTAATATTATTGTTATTCCTTTCACTGGATTTCAGGCTGCCGACGACACTTCTAACTTTAATCCAAGTTCAATTTGTCCTCAATTACAGTTGTGTGTTGTCACTATTATTTTAAATGTTTTAATCCTTCTGAATGCAAGTCTATAATGTTAGATTAATGCCAAATATTCATTGATGACAATTTGACATTGATTATGTATTTCTTTACCTCCTTCAACTTACCCTCCCGATTGTCAACCATTTTCCTTTATTCCGTTTTTAATTTGAAAACGTAAATAAGAAATTATTCGCCACAATGTCTTACGCATTATTATTATTGATGTTTTTCATTTCTGTGTAGTTAATCATTCCATGTTGTTTGTAGACTCTCTCTTTATATTAACATATTACCCTGCTCATTTATTACTGCCTTAATTCCTCTTTGGTTTTTTGTAACACCAGGTACTTTATTTACTTCATTTTATGTCAGTAATGATGTTCAGACAAATAGTTCTTTCCCTTATTGTCATTGTCATTTTATTTGTATCATACTTCCTCAGTTGAGAATAATGTCTTGCACAATAGTCTCGTTTTTAAGAATAACACAATTGTATCCGTTTATCCTATGTCCATTATCGACAACACCATCTTCATCGTTATATTTGTTAGCAGGTGTACATGTTTAAATGGTTGATTGAAAATTGTCTCTTTTACGGGAATTCTTTTGTTTTGTTTCCTCATTAGTGAGCGCCGTAATTTTCCACTGGGTTTTTTGTATGCTACTGAATATCGTCACTATTATTATCATTGTTGTTACTATTAATGTATGCTTATTTTATCTTTAACAACTACCCGGTTAGTGGTGGTCTGTTTCACATGGGTTTCTGTATGATATATATATATATATATATATATATATATATATATATATATATATATATATATATATATGATTTATAACCCACTCATTAATTATTATAAAGTTTTCCTGTTGAGATTCAGCATTTTTAGTTGGGAATCAACTACCATGACGATTCTGTTACTTTTTGTTGGGTTTTATCTTTTTTTTGAGAGAGATGTCGGTCATTGTTCACTGTACTTTTAAAAGAATCTTTACGTGTTCTGGTCATCTTTCTTTTTCATCATTACTGAACTTTCGCCTTTTTTAAATTTATGTCTAATGCGTAGTGAACTGTCAGCGATTTGTTTGCTTGTTTTCATACCCCCTTTTAATCAGTAGGGGCGGCAGTTGATGATAATAATAATGAATATTATCCAGTGTTTGTAATTAATTTAGCCCGATGTTTTGTTAAATATTTTTTGTTCTATTACTTGAAAACTCCTATACATACATACGACAAGTCATTTTGGCTCATATATAAATATATTAACCTAGTTTCAGTTCCTTTTCAACCTGATAATAAATATAACGTTGATAAAGAAATTTAAAATTGTTTATTAGGTTGTACTATACTTTATTTCTAAGAGATATCGAGTAACTTTTGCGTCAGTGTTTTACTCTATTCTCTCTGTGTGTCAATGTATGGTTACCTTTGGTGTTATATTTCATGGCTAATGGTTTTATTCATGCAAATGTTCGTGGTCGAAACTAACTTGTTACTTAGATAGACATCAGTTATTCTCTGATTCAGCATACTTGTATCATTTGATTTTCGCTATACAGTAATTTTATGAAATTTTCATTTTAAACTCCAAAATTACTTTTCCATACCATTTGTGTTAGTTGTCTATTAGTCGACAATCGACCAAGTTTAATTTTGTCTAAATAATGATATATATTCAATCGGAACAACAATTGAAACTACGATAACAGTTATGACACCGGGGGACAGTCTTGGAGTCCAAATTAAAGTAACTAATAGTAATTTTTTTCTTATTGTAACTATGCTCCTAATTCAATCACGTTTCAGTGTTTCACAAATCGAGTTACTTAATATCTTACATTATATTCATTACAAGTAAAACTGTTCAAATAATCTCGAGTTATCGCTAATGAGAAACCAGTCTTTTACAATAAGAAAACGTATGGTGGATCATTTGATTGTTTAATTGAAAATGATTTTGTACTAAGCCAATGATAGTTTAATAACAGCTGACGTCTGTACCTCATAGGTTACGGCAGTGATTGTCTTCCATCATCTACTGTTTAAAAAGTATTCGAAAAATGTAAGTCAAGAAGATTATTCAATGTAGAAGAAAAATTTTGAATTAAGCATTTCCGTCAGTTCTGTTTTAATAAAATAGAAAACTGGATAAACAAACTTAGCACCGTAGAGCAACAGTTTTTTTTACCGTTTACCTGATTTATTTATGCTGAAAATTATCATGTGCTCATTAGTAACTAACTTCGACAGGGAATTCTCGGAGTCCTAGTGAGAAGCTGCGACCATTGAAGTTGAACCGTGTCGGGTGAGAGGTCCGGAGGTTAAGTGTTAGCGTGAGACCGAAGTTAGTTTGTTGGATTCCTGGTTAAAGGTATGTGGATACGTAGTGCTGAGGAGTTCCGTACTAGGGCGAAACGTTCGTCCGGTGCTTCCAGGTTCCCACTGGTCGTTTAACATTGATTGATTTATGATTTCAGTGAAATCCAACAATCTCCGCAATGATTTATTTAATTTGATGACATTTATTTTCATCATCAATG